TATATCTTGAAGCGAGCTTCTATTAGAACATTCTACAAGCCGCCGAAGAAGATTAGTCAGTTCCTACCATTCGTCAAGTGTCATATTCCTCTACAAGATGCAAGAGTGTACAAGCTTGATTGTGAATGTGGTCTCTCTTATATAGGACAAACAAAAAGATCAATTAGGACCCGCGTAAAAGAATATATAGCTGATGTGAAGCATCAACGTTCCGGGAAGTCTGCAGTTTGTGATCATATCCTAGACGGACCCAACCATTACATCAGATTTGATAGACCACAAATCCTCGCGAAAGAACACCGATTCCTACCAAGGATGATACGTGAGGCTATTGAAATTAAAAAACATCCTAATTTCAATAGAGAAGGAGGCTGGGTACTACCACCTGCTTGGGATCCTATAATCAATAAAATTAAAACTAAACCCAAACATACCACTGCAAGACCTCAGGACATAGTCAGTTCATTTTGCATAGATCGGACCATAAACAATAATTAAAAAAGCTGAGGGTGCTCCGGGTTTAACAATGACATCGGGACGTCAGTCATCTCAGTCCCCCGTGACCATGGGTGCTGGAAAGCGCCCGAAATGTCGGGAATTAAAAATAAAAGTAAATAAAAAGTAAAAATAAACGCGATAAAATCCGTAAAAGTAGTTTTAATCATGTAATTGGTTTGTTGCTGTACAGGTTGGTGCAATAAGAATTTCTGAGGAATCGTAGACGATCCTAGAATGTTATAAATAGCAGCCAGCGAAGCCCTTACTGGAGCTGGAAGAAGAGGTAGACAAGTTGCGCTGGCATATTATTGGATTATCCGAGGTCCGAAGAGAGGGGGAGGACACGGCAATCCTCGAGTCCGGCAACTTGTTCTATCACCGGGAGGGCGACCATCTGTCCCAAGGAGGTGTCGGATTTATCGTCCACAAATCTCTCGTCAACAACGTTGTAAAGATTGGGAGTGTGTCGACGAGGGTCGCGTACCTGATACTCAGAATCACCAAACGGTATTCGCTGAAGGTCATTCAGGTTTACGCACCAACCTCGGCACATCCCGATGAGGAGGTGGAGGAAATGTATGAGGATATTTCCAGAGCCATACATTCCTCCAAAACCTACTACACGGTGTTGATGGGAGACTTCAACGCAAAACTGGGCACAAGAGAAAGCGGTGAGCTGAAGGTAGGGAAATTTGGAGTAGGGCAACGGAACCGAAGGGGCCAGCAGCTGGCCGACTTTATGGAGAAAGAGGAACTCTTTATGATGAACTCTTTCTTCCAGAAGCGGCCCCACAGGAAGTGGACCTGGTCGAGCCCCGACGGTTCGACAAAAAATGAGATTGACTTCATTATGACGACCAGACGCCAACTGTTCAGTGATGTCTCAGTGATCGCAAGGGTGAAAACTGGCAGCGATCACCGAATGGTTAGAGGCACACTGAACCTAAACGTTAAGTTGGAGAGGTCTCGTCTAATGAAGTCAACGCTCCGTCCCCCTCGTGCTCTAATCCAGAATCCCGAAACCTTTCAGCTCGAGTTACGTAACCGCTTCCAGTGCCTAGAAGATTGCAATGCAGTGGACGATATGAACGACAAGCTCGTGGAAACTGTCCATGCGGTCGGAGCTAAGTTCTGCAAGACCCGCCGCAGAAGAACACAAAAACTCTCCGATCACACTCTTAATCTCATGGCTGTTAGACGGGAGATGAGGCTGCAATCGTCAACAGATTTGACAGCATACAGGCAACTGAACAGACAGATCTCCAAATGCATACGGCGAGACTTACGCAACTTTAATACTTCTCGTATTAAAGAAGCGATCGAGCGGAACCAGGGCTCCAAAGTCTTTGCCAGAGATCTGTCTGCCAGAAAGAGCCAACTGTCAAGGCTGAAGACTGAGTGTGGCAACATCGTTTCCGGGACACCTGAGATTTTGAGTGAGATTGAGAGGTTCTATGGGCAGCTGTACACATCATCGTTGGAGCCACACGCAAGTGTGAGTAACGATCCAAGAGCAAGTCTTATCCGACACTATTCCGATGATATCCCGGACGTCAGTCTAAGCGAGATTAGAATGGCTCTCCAGCACCTTAAAAACGGCAGGGCCCCAGGCGAGGATGGAATTACAGCGGAGCTTCTGAAAGCGGGTGGAACACCGGTACTTGAAGTCCTTCAGAAGCTCTTCAATTCCGTCCTCCATGGTGGCACTACTCCAGAGGCGTGGAGCAGAAGTGCGGTGGTCTTGTTCTTTAAGAAAGGCGACAACGCTCTCTTAAAGAACTACAGACCGATTTCCCTTCTGAGCCGCGTCTACGTGCTGTTTTCGAGAGTCATTACGAATCGTCTCGCACGCAGACTTGACGACTTCCAGCCTCCCGAACAAGCCGGTTTCCGAAAAGGCTTCAGTACCATAGACCACATACATACCCTGCGGCAGATTGTACAGAAGACTGAAGAGTACAATCTGCCACTTTGCCTGGCGTATGTGGACTATGAGAAAGCCTTTGATTCCGTCGAAATTTGGGCGGTGCTACAGTCCCTTCAGCGGTGCCAAGTTGACTGTCGGTATATCGAAGTGCTGAAGTGTTTGTACAGTAGGGCTACGATGGCTATCCGAGTACAGAACCAGAGCTCGAAACCTATCCAACTGCAGAGAGGTGTAAGACAGGGTGACGTTATATCCCCGAAACTCTTCACCGCTGCATTGGAAGACGTTTTCAAGCTACTGGACTGGAAAGGATACGGTATTGACATCAATGGCGAGTACATCACTCACCTTCGATTTGCCGACGATATAGTCCTTATGGCAGAATCGCTGGAGGACTTAAGCACTATGCTCAATGACCTCAATAGTGCCTCCCAACGGATAGGTCTTAAGATGAACATGGACAAAACAAAGATCATGTTCAATGTCCATGTCACACCTATGCCGGTAGTTGTCGGGAGCACTATGCTCGAAGTTGTTGACGAATAAGTTTACCTGGGACAAATAGTCCGACTAGGTAAGTCCAACTTCGACCGAGAGGTCAATCGACGGATTCAACTCGGCTGGGCAGCGTTCGGGAAATTACGGCATATCTTTTCGTCAGGTATACCTCAATCTCTAAAAACTAGATTGTACAACCAGTGCGTGTTGCCAGTGATGACTTACGGATCTGAGACGTGGTCCTTCACTGCTGGCCATATGAGGACGCTTAAGGTCGCTCAGCGAGCTATGGAGAGGGCTATGCTCGGAGTTTCTCTGCGTGATAGACTCAGAAATGAGGATATCCGCAGTAAAACCAGAGTGACCGACATAGCCCAACGGATTAGTAAGCTGAAGTGGCAATGGGCCGGCCATATAGCTCGAAGAACCGATAACCGATGGGGAAGAAAGGTTCTCGAGTGGCAGCCTCGTACCGGTAGGCGTAGTGTAGGGCGACCCCCACTAGATGGAGTGACGACCTGGTAAGACATGCAGGAAGTCGATGGATGCAGGTGGCTCAGGACCGTGCTTTGTGGCATTACTTGGGGGAGGCCTATGTTCAGCAGTGGACTTGTGAAGGGCTGTAATGATGATGATGATGATGAAGCCCTTAAGGTTGACTTAAAATAACACATCATGTTTTTTTTTATAGGATATGGTGACAAACGAACACACAGTCCACCTGATGGTAAGTAGTTGCTGTGGCCATAGACAGCTACATCTATCCTCAATTACAAATCAAAATGCAGATGCGTTGTCACCCATGAGGACTAAGATGGAATGCCTCGTTTCCAGTAAAAAGGGTCTCCAGTCTCTACACTCACCATATGAAACACAGCAGCGTTAAGCTACTATTTCACGTTGGTATTATGTGAGAGCGTGGTCCTTCCCCGGTCGAGCTGACCCATTCGTGCTACAACTATACTACTAATATAACTGCAGTATGGCTCTACCACGTATAGACAAAATGTTATGCAAGTATGCATCACAACAATTTAAGAAAAATCTATAATAATAATTGCAAGGACATTGAAGATCAGGTATTCAATTCATTGTTTGTTATTTTAAAAAATAAACAATTGATAAACAATAATTAAATTCAGAGGATAATAGAATATTTCTTTATAATTTATTTGAGTAATAAAGATCTAAAGTCGAAACTTCATATCAATAGGGCTTCACAACTTGAAAAATACAATTGTGCCTTTGTAAATCAAATTGTTATCGGAATATTAGGAACATTAAATTGATGCTTGTTTTAACAAAACCTTTTAATATGAAATTTTTAACTTAAAATTCAAGTTATACAGGTTCCCCTCTCTTACACATTAGCTACATGTTTTAAAATACTATTCTAGGCCACTAAGTGTCACAGAACATTATTACTCCCAGGCGGCTAATACCTACTTATTGTTAATTTCATGTATATTTAAGTTTCAATATAGGTGCACCTAGTACACATCCATTGATTATATAGTATATTTATTTATTTATTTTATAGGGTAGGGTGACAAATGACTCCACCTGATGGTAAGTGATTGCTGTGACCCATAGACATCTATCTACATCTATCCTCGATTACGAATCAAAATGTCTCATCCGTGAAGACTAAACCAGAATGCCTCGTTTCAAGTAAAAAGGGTCTCCGGTTCTGTACACTCACCATACAAAATACAGTAGCATTAAGCTACTAATTTACGCATGTATTGTATGAGAGCGTGTTCCCTTCCAGTCCGAGCCGACCCATTCGCGCTACAACTATACTACTATAATACAACTGCAGCATGGCTGTACCATCTATAAAATTATTTATATATAGTATAAATATACACATCTAATAATTGAACCCTGCAAAATAAAAAATTAGGTAAAGACGTAAATTACGAATATCGTTCTATAGTGTGAAAACATTTTCTACTTGAAAACCATTGAAGTAACATGTACTTACGTACGTAGTACATAAGCTCAATGTTGAAAACATACAGAATACAACTATATCAAAACCATTTAAATAAGGCATAAATAAATTTACAGTTACCATTTTCACTTTTCTGTAGGGAGATAGGTAAGTAATCACACTTTCATTGCCCTCAGTCATTTACATATGTGCCACTGTGCGATCAAAACAATTTAGTAAATTAAACAATGTAAATAACGTAGACAGAGAAACCTATAGGGCCTATAGGCACCGATAGACTGCCGATAGACACCGCCCTTAGTGATGTCAACCGGTTTTAAGAAAAACTGATAAAAACCGGTTTTTGATAAAACCGGTATATACCGGTTCTAGTCAAATAACCGATTTATTTGCATGTTGGCAGCCCTATAACTTTACAACAGTAGACAGAGAAACCTATAGACAAATTGACGCCTTCTTTCGCATTCGCACACGAAAAAGATAGATTTATGCATACGTCTTGCATAGAAATGAGACCAAGCGGTGTAATTGTTTGTTCTTTTCTCCGTGCCGGTTTTTTTTATAGTAAACTACTAACAACTTTGACAGTTCGTAGCGATCTAAGGAGTTTACAAGTTGGTTTAAGTGAGAAAAAAGTGTTTTGTGAGCTTAAGATTGGTGAATCTTGTTCAGTTCAGTTCTTAGAACAGTTAAAAAATTTAACTGATATATATATATATATATATATATATATATATATATATATATATGTGCCCTTTCTCAATCGAGGCCACGCTAATCATTAGTCTATAGGTTTTTCTGTCTACGTTTACAACGTATATCTGAATCCTTATGAATAGCAGTGGTTGGGGATAGGGAAGGTATATTTACGCGACCAGGTTTTTATACCAGATATTTACTTGCAAGTACGCCGACTAAGTGCCGACCCAAAATACTTGCAAGACTTCAAAGTATTCGAATATTCTCGCTCTGTCGACACTCTACGCGATTCTGCTCCTTATTTATCTTTAGTTACGGATCAATGTTCTATCAGGGTATTTTTACTTTAAAGGATTGGAAGTATTTTTTTTGTAAAAATTGTGCTCTTTATTTGTATATAGTATTCTAGATGCAAGTATTTTTCTTACAACAAGTCTTGAAAGTTGGAACTTTCAAAGGTTTGGAAGTAGTTTTTTTTTTGTAAACGCGGTTGTGCTCTTTATTTGTAAATGGTTACAGATCAATATTCTATGCAAGTATTTTTCTTACAACAAGTCTTTAAAGTTGGAACTTTTAAAGGTTTGGATGTATTTATTTTGTAAACGCGAATGTATTCTTTATTTGTATATAGTAACAGATCAATATTCTATGCAAGTATTTTTGTTTCATCAAGGCTTGAAAATTTACTATTTTAGCATATTTATGCGATTGCACTACTTATTTATATATTCTTATGGATCAATTTTCGATACAGAAATAAAATACTTGGAAGTATCTCAAACCCTGGTTTTTTGACGCTGGTATTTGAAGGTGGACGTACTTGCAAGCCCTGGTACTCGATTTTGTAAGTAAGACCCATCTCTAGTTGGGGAATCCTGAAATGTCGCCCGATAGCAATGGAGGATTTACCGATCAGAGACAATTGTACAATTCTGCAATTTTCTTTGCAAAGCATAGCGATAGTCCAAGTGAGTTAAAGTTTGTGCCGTATTTAATTACCTAAAATAATTGTTTGTGCCTTGTTTATAACAAGAAAAAGAACTACAAAAGGTTTTTACCTGTGTTCTATTAAGTAACCTATTAATTTGATCGATTTATTTTTTTGTTTGCAGGATGCCAAAAGTAAAAGGAAAATATCTTACAAGAAATCATTTTGAAAAATTGAATAATGATTCGGCTAAATGTCAGTTATGTGGAAAAATTATCAAGGTAGGCGGAGGGACATCTAATATGTTGGCTCATCTCAAGAGAAGTCATCCACAGGCAACAGTGCCAGTCAATCCTGATTTAACCGTCGAAGAATCGTTACAGCTCGCACAGGTGGAAGAAGTTATCAAGAAATGTAAAGCAATTGTAAATTTTTTTAAGAAGTCATCTGTTGGATGGCGCGCTCTGAAATCAGAACAGATACTACTACTACACTAAAACTAATCCAAGATATTACGACACGTTGGAACAGTAAATTTCATATGTTGACCAGAATGCTAAAATTGTCCGATGAACTGGCACTAGTATGCCGAAAAGTAAATTAGCCGCCAGAATTCCTCAATTCTTCTGAAGAAAAAATTGTCAAAGACGTGGTAAATGTTTTAGGTATATTCGAAGACGCAACTAAATTAGTGAGTGGTGACCAATACCCAACGAGTTCTTTAGTGATTCCCGTAATTTGCGGATTATTTGAAAACCTCAACACCATCGAAATATCACTGAAAACAAATGTAGGCAAGATGTTCTGCTCAGCAGTACGGCGTAACATGAGCAGCAGATTGTTGGCCTAAGAAACAAGAACTGTGTCACAAATTTCTACATATTTGCATCCAACCTTAAGGACCGGCTTTCGTCAACCTAAAAATATGTTATCTGCTAAAGACCAGGTGAGGCGGGAGTTGGGGAGTCTGATACTGTAGTCCAATAATAAAACTGATGCCACATCCTCTGATTCAATACCTACGACCGAGCAGGTGGCAACAAAGAAGCCGGGAATTTTGGACTTCTTAAAACAAAGAAGGACTGAGACTGGTGTTTCAAATGCGACTGTTTCTGCAGTAAACATACTGCGCATGTATATGGAAACGAGATTGACCTTAGGCGAGAAGACAAATATACAGAAGTCGCTGGCACTTACTGGAAAACAAAAAAAAATATTTGGCACCGCTTAATAACATGGCTTTAAAATATCTGTCAGTGCCAGCGACTTCAGTACCTTCGGAACGAATGTTTTCAACTTCCGGCTATTTCTTATCATCACGAAGGAACAGGTTGCTAGGTGATGCAGTAGATCAACTTTGTTTTATCCACCAAAATTATGATTTAATTATTTAACTAAAAATAAAAATAAGTTTTTTTTTATTGAATAAAGTTTAATAAGTATTAAAAAAAACTCAATTTTTTCATTGTCTTATGGATCCTAAAAACCTAAGAAAACCGGTTTTTTTAAATTACTAATCGGTTTATACCGGTGCTGAAAGTTGTAATCGATTGACATCGCTAAGCGCCATAGCGTGTCGCAGAAAGAGACAAAAAAAATACGTCACTATATTTAGGGTTACAAGTGTGAGGAAAAATTTACCCCACAACTAGCTATAAAATTAGAAATTAGTACGTGAAGTAAGCCTGAAAGGGAACACTGCTATTAACGATTATCATTGGTATGTATTGTAGTTGATGGAGAGCTAAGTGGACTGTATTTGACTAATTATTTATTATAATTTACTTTTGTGAAGAAAGAAGAAACTAAAAAATTGTGATATCTATCTGACTAATAAACTTAAAGAAACTATTGTGTAAATGAATGAGAGCTAATTGGACTGTATTTATTTAGGTTGTGTTTAAATCTTGAAGAAAGAAAATACTGAACTAACTGTTACCAGCCCTCTGTCACTCTTGCTACCTGCGTGAAATAATCTACAATCGCGAGGCATACAGGGCAGGCCTCTGTCACTCTTGCAACCGGCGTGAAATAATTACCTAAAATCGCGATTTGGGTGAATTTGGGTGTAATACGCAGTCGGGGCTAGCGCGTTGTAGGCGATTGATGTATTTTTAACGCTGTTTACGTAAATAGTTTTTTGTAAACACTTGTAATTTTTTCAGCGTTTAGTATTTAATTGTAGGATAAATAGTTCAAAAACATTAATGTGATTTAAAAATAATATATGTGTATGACAAAACTTCGAACCTACTATAATTGTTGCGTACGACGACTTTCAAATAATTTGTGTGTACGATACGCGCGCCACCTACTGTAAGTTAATTGTACTATACCTATAACCTTCGCGCAAGTACAAGCAAAAAATTTACAAAGTTTTAGCGCAATCAGTTAAATAATGTGGCAGACGGCGCGTAAAATACGAACAAACAAACATTAATTTTTAGGGTAAGTGTTCGTAGTTTTTATGTAACGGATTATATTTTAAATGACAGACAAAAAAGCGGCTACTGCAGCCCATGGGCATCTGCAACAAACATCAAGCACAACAGGCTACAAATTCGTTGTCACTTCTGAGGACTAAGATGGAATTCCTCACAGCCTGTAAATATACCGGCTCTCTATCTCCTCCAGACGGAACACAGTAGGGCCAGTACTGTTATTTGGTGACAGAAATCAATAAGACAGTGGTTTGCAGCTAGACGGAATTGTAGGCGGAGAAGGTCTTACATGAATTTTATTCAGAACCCCGCGACTTCACCCGCGTGGATTTTTTTTTGCGCGGAACCCTAAAATAAAAATAGCCTAAGTTACTCCTTATATCAACAAATTTCCGTCCTTATAACATCAAGTCCCATCCAAATCGGTTCAAAGGTTTTTACGTGATGCGTGTTCAGACAGACGTCGTGTTAGAGTTTATTTTAGTATAGAAGATAGATAGATATACACATATAACATACACTCACGCCTGTCACCCAGAGGGGTAGGCAGTGACTACGGACTTCCATTTGGCACGATCCTGACATATCTCTCTCGCCTCCTTTATATCCAAATATCTACGCGTACACGCTCGTTGGTCGAGAGTACTTCTAATGTAGCTCATTTTCAAAATATCGCCAATTTAGTCGATACTTTAGTCTAGGGCGTCCCTTACCGACTCTGAAGTTCACATCTGCCATATAAATTTGCTTTGTCACTCTTTCCTCATTCATTCTTTCTACATGACCAAAACACCAAAGCACTCATTTCTTAATCTTGGTCACAACATTATCATCTGATGATGTTGATGAGATAGTGTAGTGTTATGCTACTTATATATCATTTTACACTATTTTAAATTTATTTTTCCATTCTGTTTTTGATTTTCTGCATTCACCTCAAAACTGGATATTTTGCATCACCTTTATTTCCATAGGATCCTGTAACGTTTTTTAAACCATAAGAACACAATAACAAATCATTTTCACTTCGTATTTTCACGCTAATTTTTTCGATCTTTTTTTGAGTTACGGAGAACTAAATAAAAGATCGAAAAAGGTAGACTCCATTGACACCGATTTAAAAAGTGCTGATAGCGTGAAAATACGAAGTGAAAATGATTTGTTATTGTGTTCTTATGGTTTAAAAAAAACGTTACAGGATCCTATGGAAATAAAGGTGATGCAAAATATCCAGTTTTGAGGTGAATGCAGAAAATCAAAAACAGAATGAAAAATAAATTTAAAATAGTGTAAAATGATATGTAAGTAGCATAACACTACATTTAAAATGTTTTTTTTCCACGCAGGAGCGGATGAAGATCGAAAAAGGTAGACTCCATTGACACCGATTTAAAAAGTGCTGATAGCGTGAAAATACGAAGTGAAAATGATTTGTTATTGTGTTCTTATGGTTTAAAAAACGTTACAGGATCCTATGGAAATAAAGGTGATGCAAAATATCCAGTTTTGAGGTGAATGCAGAAAATCAAAAACAGAATGGAAAAATAAATTTAAAATAGTGTAAAATGATATGTAAGTAGAATAACACTACATTTCCCCCCGACCCTGGAAAATTTTTGACTCAGCAAAAATTTTGATATGTACATTCTAAAATAAACCATAAAAACACAGCTTTGCAGAAACAGACATCACCAGACAAAATCAGATATACTATCTCTTACATTCATCATTTGCATTCAAGTAAGGGTGGAGTTCACATTCAATGACTACCACTCTAAAAGTGTGTTTTCGAAAGGACATTCAGGCTTATTTAAGGAGTTGTCATCCGCTCCTGCGTGGGAAAAAAAACCAATTTTATTAAGGGAGTAGTCAGCCGCTCCCAAGTGAAGATAAAGATAAAGAACTTAATCTTAAGCAAGCTTTAGTCGCTATGACTTATGTAAAGATTAAGAACGGCCAGAGCCTTAGGGCTCAAAGCCAGAGATCAGCAACATCACTAACGAGATGTGTCTGAAATAAAAAGTGAAGATTAACCAACGAAAATTCGAGGTCCTAAAGCAAGATGTGTTGAAGAACACAGGATCACAAAACAAACAAACAAATTAAAAGAAATAAAAATAATAAGGTGAGAACGATGGAATACGGTTTCAAACTAGAAGCATCACGGAGTATGCTCAGTTTATGCCTGTGGTAGGTGCGCAGCGCCTGATCTAGGCACACGCAGCGTCTGGAGTAGGCACACGCAGCGCTTGAAGTAGGCACACACAGTGCCCGGACTAGGCACACAAATTGATGCAAAATATCCAGTTTTGAGGTGAATGTAGAAAATCAAAAACAGAATGGAAAAATAAATTTAAAATAGTGTAAAATGATATGCATTACACTACAATAGATATAGTATAATTTGTTATTCTCGTTATATTTCTCTTATCGATTAGTAGAGGTTTATTGATTTTTTTCAATTATGTATAATTTTTAAGTTACCTAAGGATGATGAAAGGTATATTAATTTAATTTTTTGGTCAAATAAATAATTATAGCAAAAACAATTAAGTAATAATTTAAATACAGAAGTAATACTTAAGTACTTTGTTACAAAAATTAGTTGAAATTTACGTAGGTAACGTATGAAATTTACTTAGGTAAATTGAAGTAGGTAACTTACATGTCTTTTGTAATTAAAATATTTTAAGTTATCACAAAGCACTGAAATTAAAACTTTGTTTACAAGATTTTTAACTAATTAGAATACCATCACATTTCATTTAGGAATCGTATTTCAGGTTCATTTATTGTTTACACTACCTGCCTATTTCTTTCGGGTGATTTATTAAATCGCAATTCACGACGAGTGACCTTGCACGTTGCATGCGTTGGGCACAGAATTCGCATAGTAGGAAAAATATGTTCATTCGATCAGTCAGAATACCTTATCTATTTTACTTACCATTTCGCAACGTATGAATGAATCTCTTTACTGCACACAAATATAATATTAATATAAATTTATTAAATAAATATAAATTTATGTACAATTAGGTGACCTCATCGCTTAA